ACTGGGAGCCGAAAAAGGGGCTTGCTCCGTTCGCTCCACGCATCGACCCGGCATTGCAGTGCCGCCAGGTACGGTGCAACCTTCTCTCGCCTTGTGGAAAACCAAGCAATGACACAAACAGAGTTTCACATGACACTTTGTCGTTGGCTCAAAGAAAGGAAGTCAGCTCTTCCTACAGTTTTTACCCATTATGATCATGCAAAACCACTCTACGGACATGACCGAATCCATAACAGCATTGTTGATGGGCATGGTGCTGGCAAAAAACTTCTTCTGAAAGGTTGGAAGACACCAACTTCACGGTGCTTCATAAACTGCTTGCATTAACTTGTTTTGGTTAATCACCTGGAGAACCCGGGATTGGAAAAAGTTCAAAAGGTCAACATAAATGGGAAGACTGGTAGGGTCACTTTTTGAAATATCTGGACCCAATCTGACCACATTTTTCTATCGCTGTATATATGTGACTATGTCTAGCTGGGTTTTTAAGCATTGTTGGTGGTTTGACTTAAATGTTGATATGGAAATGTCAACATTAAGGTAACAAAATTAAATGAGCACCAAAGTTCAAATGCTGAAAAACAATGTAGAGAACAAAACAAGAAATGTGACATTTCTATTGTTAAAGCCTCCTCATTACTCAACACAGAAATTATGTTTTTGAGTGGACTTTTAAGTCACATGATGTACATCATGATTTATTCACTACGTCACTTTTCATCACTCTTTGTCGCATTTTGTTGTTGTTGATAAACCTACTTTTGCTCCTCAGCCAGGTGTAAAAACTTTTTTGTGATACCACAATTATGGTATTTCTACTTGGGTTTTTTGAATCAGCAAATCAAAATTGGCAAATTTATAATACACTGAAACCGGATATATGCTCTATATACTGTATAACTGACACAGATGCTACAGTTGATTGTGCTGGGCAACCAAACAACAATAATTATCTGCACCTGTCCCGTTCCCTTCCCTCTGTGCCTCCCTTACAGTTTAAGCCTCTGAAATAAAGGCAAACTTCTTGTATTGCAAGTATTATAAGTATCAAACTTGCCCAGATCAATTTTTCCCACACCATTAAAAAAAAAGTATTCAAAAACACCAACTGGCACACTCGGTGCAAAAGCAGATGAAGGCTCAAATGGTGTCAATAAGTACAGGTTTCAGAGGAATGTTAATTGAACAACAAAATAAAGCAAAAGTAACCCAAGCAAAATTGTATGATTTTAGAGTGGAAGCTGCTAGACCTTTCCTCATGTAAAACCTGGCTGAATCTGTATACTTTTCATACAGCTCCCTGCTTAATACACAGCTAGAAGGTTGAGAGGAGGGACAGGCTGGAGGAGACAGAGAGAAAAAGAAAGAGTCACTTCAAGCTCAGGGATCCTGGAGGCAAAGTCAAGAGGTTAAATCCACGAGGTAATCTTCACATCTTGAGGGCAACATTTTGTGTTGGTTATCAAATAGGTCTGTTAAATAAAAGGATGGATTATAATTACATAGGTTTGTAAGTATCTAATATACATTTCAAAACTTTAAGTACAAGCTGAACTTATGTTTGTGTGGAGTGTTTTTTTCTGATGAGCAAATTATCTTCAGCTGTACTCCAGATCTTGATAACTTTATGCCACTGCATTTATTTACAGCCATCCACCAAACTGAGGAGTCCAGTGCAGCAGGGGAACATGTGCTGACTGTGATATTAATTTGTGCCCATCTCTTTTCAAGACCACGAAAGTGGAACACCATGACTGACCCAGACAATAATTGAGAGTCAGATGGTGATTTAGATTTTTCTCAGTGTTCTTCTCAACCTGGGTCCAAGGAGAGAGTTTATCAGAGTGTCCTGGATGTCAGACTTCACCAGTCTGTTATTTGTCACGAAACATCCAAGTATGCTCAGAAAATCATGAAGGGCAACAGACAACAACACTGCATACTACAGTTATCAAAGAATTTGAAAAAAGAGAACAGTGTAACAAACACAGGAAAGACCCAAGAATGCAGGCTTGATCCAGCAGAGAAAATCAGGCAAAGGTCAGTAGATGGTAAATCAGTCCACTCAGGCAAAAGTACAAAAATCCACAAAGCCAAGGTCTAAATTCAAAACTGGGCAAAACTATGATGGCTTACTAGGGAAAAACACAAATAATTGCTGGGACGCTGATGCAAAGGACAAGATGAACTGGCAAGGAGAGGAAGAGAACACACAGACTAATCACTCTAGGGAAAGGGGAGACAACAAGACACAGGTGCAGCACATAAGGGCTGGGCAGGTAATCAGACAGGTGGGCAGGAAGTAAAGAGACCTGGAACGAGACGAGAGGTGAGTATCAAAATAAAACAGGACACACAAGACTTGAAACACTAGGGAATAATGATTAAAAACTTAACCACCAGGACGGGGCGTGACAAACAGCCCATGAGCCTAGTTGAATGTTTTGGCATACTTTTGACTGTGAATTCTCTGCAGCAATTGCTTGTGCATTTTTTTGCGTTACAAATTACATCTGGTTACAGCTAATGTGTCTTTAACATTTTTGCACTACAGGCTTCGGCAGTAGGTTAACATTAGCTCAACATTTGTTGTTGTTTTTCCTATTTATATTGATTTGATTTGAGATACACATTGAGTTTACTTGTAATGAAATGGGAGACAGGCATAACCATCCTGAAGGGGACATGACCTCTTAATCTAGTGCTATACGAAGCTAATGTCATTCCCACCAGTCTAAACTGTAGCCTTCTTTCTTCTTAGTGCTCATTAGCAAATGTTAGCATGCTAACAGCATTTTCATTGTGAGCATGTTAGCATGCTGACATTAGCATTTAGTTCAAAGCATCACTGTAGCTTCTCACAGTCACCAGCATGTCTGTAGACTTAGTTATGTTAAAAACCATGTAACTTTAAAAATGTCCAAAGAGCTATGTTACTTTTGTTGAGTTGTTTTCGTACATTATCCTAAATGTTTCCATCAATTTTCAAACTTAATGTAATCTGATCATGGCAACGGTCTATTTCATTAGGTCACCTGTCAGTGACATCATATCCTCTATGATCATGTGTCAGTGTGTTTGTCTGACAGAAGCTCAACATTGACTTTTATCTAGTTTTAAGCCACATACACTTTTTCCACCTTGGTGGTTTTCAGCTCTATATTTGAACCAGATGAAGGATTTTAGTCGTCGGACGTCTGGATCTGAAGTTATCAGAGAAACAAGCTGAGGAAATGTTAGACAGCTCAGCTCCCAGCTGCTGGAGACGTCCTGTCCTGTGTCACTGAAGAGCGTTGGTTCCTTTATCAAGTGATTACAAAACAAGTGAAGACAATTGTAATAATAGTGAGATAGATTGGACCAAACAACCGATCAAGATGTAAGAGAAAAACAAAAATAATAGGTGTGTGAGAGACAGAATAAATAGAATGGCATTGAGGTTGTGCATGTATGAGCATACAACACACATAAACACACAATATCAACCCGTACATGCTCATGATCATAATACAAGAAAAAAAGAAAGGAGGAGGAGCTTGTGTATATGGTTGGGGACAGGGTTGGGGGGGGGGGCCCACAGTGGGGACAGGTACCAGAGCCGGCCATCAGCGGGGCAAGTCCAGGGGTTGAGCGGCTGAACAGTGGAGAGAGAGGCTGGACTGTGACAGAGAGGTTTTTTTTGTTTATTTTTCAGGTTGATTGTGGAGAGGGGTGAGAGTGTCTCAGATCCTGGGGAAGAGGGTCTGCCTATCCTATCAACACCCCTCTGTTGTTATTTGTGATGGGGACCCATGCAGTACCAGCACCTAATCCCTATGTACAGCACAGAGTACCTATAGGGCAGCCCCGGTGAACACACTGGACCAGGGCCCACACCACTGTTCCTGCCAAAAGCAGGAACCAGAGCATGGATGAGAGGTTGTGAACTGATTATGTTTGTGTTGAATCACTGATTTTTAACATGAAACTGCTCTATTCAATGTTTCTAATGGTTATAATCGGCTGGTGTGTTTGCTGTGGAGAGGAGGACACCTCTGTGGATAATTCAGCTGCTGGTAAAAACCTGCTGAACCGCTGACACTGAAGGAATCCTAACAGGGAGAAGCTTACGGCAATGGTGGTGAAGACCAGAACTCCCATGATCCTATCATGCTTCACATCGACATCACCAAAGCTTGTCTTCCGTTATTGTTTTGATTGAGAGACTCCTAGCAGATGTAGATTCTCATTTCTATTGCAAACAGTAGTTTTGTTCATTTCAATCTCCTTCCACTCAACTCACACAAAAGAGGGGTCACTTTCAGAAAAACTATAGATAACATATAGAACATTTAATGTAATTGTAGTGTGAAAAATCTGAACTCCAAGTAAAATCTCAGGCTTCATCAAAACATTCCTACTCTTTAAAACAACCAGGAAATAGGAAGTTAAAAACAGATTTGTTCCTGTTACCAAGCGTAACAGTTTTAGACTTGTCATGAAGATAAACTACTATTCTCCTCTTTAGCATAACAATAGCTGCCTGCAATCACTTCACAAAATGTGGCACACAAACCTGCCAGAACCGGAGTTTCATGTTTATACATGTTGACAAACATCCAACTTGTGATGAATGGTTCCAGTTTCCTAACTATGCAGTTGGTGAATGATCAAGAGTGTGACGTTTTCTTTTTAATCTAGGACAGACCAGCTTGTTCATTAACGCTAGTTGTTTTCTATGAAAATTGGATGAATGGTTTCGTTCATTATAGAACAAAAATGGCATTTACAGTATATGATGGAATGCTTCACATTTTTTAGTGGTGTGAGCTGATTTCTATACATGAAACATCTACATTAATGTCAAGTATTTAAATGTGATTTAACACATGCACAGCTGACATCAGAGTGACTAGACTCTAGACACACTGTACTTCCTTGTGCTCAGAAATTCCAGTCCAGCAGAGAGAGAGAGGGAACGCCCTGCAGAGGTAAGATAGGTTAAAGTAATCATACATCACAAGACACACAGCGGAGTCTGATCCTCTCAGCTGTGCAACATGAGCAGGATAAACTATCTAGGTAAGAGTCAGCTGTGTTTTCAGTGTCATTATTCATTTTCAGTTTGTTAGTCATTTATATTTTAGTTTAATTGACACATCCTTCGGGATTGTTACAGTTTAGACAGTGAATTATGAAGCTGAAGAACAAGTGTGAATTAATTTGTGTTTAAGGTTTAGAAAGGTTAAGATATGAGATGGAATATATTTCATTTTTCTGTGTTAGTAATGTAAATTTACAATTTGAAATTCACTTATAGTACAGTTACTGTAATGGTCCAAGACATGTCAGGTTGATGCAGGGGCTGCAGTGTGGAGCCTCCAAAGTTGTCATATTTACACACAGTGTGCCTTAAGCTGGTTTGCTAATGTTAGCGTTAGAAATCACAAATCAGTCTGCTGATTCAAATCACCGTCCAGTTCAATTCAAAAATTCACAGTGACTGGCTGACTGACTGTTCATATTCACTTCGGTACTTACAGCAGTAAGTCAACACATCACTATTCACGTGGCCTGATATTCAGCTCTAGTTCTGAATGACTTCAGTTCAGTACTATGTTCAGTCTGTTTGTTGACATAGTTGTTACGTTCAGCACAAAACGTGGCCTGTACAAGTCTGTATGTAAAGAGGACAGTGTAAAGGTACCGTCATCAGAGGTATCATCAGGTATCATATTCAAAGTCCTACAAAGATTGTTACAGGAAATTAAATGATGGACGGACAAACATGTAGGTTTGTATGTTTGCAACCTGCTGATGGATCGCTCAGCCATTACACATGACTGGATCTACTGGGATCTCCAGCACAGCCTTGAAACACAAACACTATCATCATCTCTCAAACTGTGATAAACAGACTGATCACAACTATTGGTCATGATCTTTCTTGTATGTTGCAATGTTTTGAAGCTGTGCTCTGAATATCTGAAGACCCAGTCAGAGTGCGCGATGACACAATTTTACAACTCTACAAAACTCATGAATCGTTTGTGTGTGTGTGTGTGTGTGTGTGTGTGTGTGTGTGTGTGTGTGTGTGTGTGTGTGTGTGTGTGTTGTTTCAAATGGACTTCAAACTTAAAGGCTGCTGATTCCAGGTGGAAGAAAGAGTTCGGTGCAGCTTAAATCAATTCACTTTCACAATTCTGGGTCAGTTGTAGCTGATTTCAAAATCTATGGCACCGTGTTGTTGCTGCTGGAACAACAAAGCATTTTGAAATAACAGACAAAACCTGATTTCTCAGGAACAAAGTTGAAATAATTAAAACTGGATCATTACATCATCCGTGAGAGTCCTGCTTTTCCATTCTGATAGCCTTCGAGTGATTAATTGCTAAAACTATACATACAGCAGACAATATTTTAATTAACTTTTCATCAATAATTTAATAGAATTTATTTATAATTTAAAATTTGAAATCAAAAGTGCTTGTACCTGTTCTGAACAGCTCCGGAGTCAAAGGGTATAGATCTATAGAGAAGCCCCCTCTTCTCATTATATTACCCCCCCCTGGGTAGTATAATTTCAATAAGAGGTTTTGTGACAGTCTCTCCTGGACCACATTCAAAGTGAAGCACATTTAAAGTGACATATTTATACAAAGAGTTACAAAAGACAGCTGAGATAGGAGTTCACTCCCTGGCCCCTTGCTTAGTTGTGCACAGCTGGTCAATCAGGGCATGACGTTGGGATGAATGTCTGATCATCAGCTATGGAAAGTTACAGAAATGGTTGGACACAGCCCCTCCAATCCAACGTGTTAAAGGTGTGAATGAAGGGGTTTTCTGAAGATGGAGTACACTGGCCCATTAACCTTTCATTTACTAATTTAGAAAATGTGTTTTTTCTAAATGTATTTTCATTTACGCCATCATGACACTGAGCAGAAACAGTTGTTTGACTTGTTGGCAATCAGTCTTTACAGACCTGTTGGACAACATGAAAAATGCACTGTCATCAAGCTAAACAAAGGTTGTTTATCGGAGACTTACTGATGGCTCGGAGGATAAGTGCAGTTGTCTTGTGAGAGGTAACTCATCCATTTTCAAAAATGCAGTCAGTTGAGAGGTTTTTTTTTTCCACACAGCCTCTAACACTGCAGCACTGTATGATGCGATGTATTTCTGTCTGACAGGGTTCGGAGATGCCTCCGATTCCAATGAAAGGAGGATCGTTCTTGTTGGGAAGACCGGAGTGGGGAAGAGCGCGGCAGGAAACACCATCCTGGGGAGGGAAGCATTTGAGTCAGAACTGTCTCCATCTTCCCTGACGTCTGAATGTCACAAAGCCAAGGGGGATGTTGGGGGTCGAAAGGTCGCGGTCATCGACACTCCGGGACTGTTTGACACTAATTTCACCCAAGAAGAAGTCCTGAAGAGGATCAAGATGTGTATCTCTCTGTCTGCTCCTGGTCCTCACGCCTTCCTGGTGGTTCTTCAGCTGGGCAGGTTCACCCAGGAGGAGAAGGAAACCGTCAAGATGATTCAGACCACGTTTGGTCAAGATGCTGCTAAATACACGATGGTGTTGTTCACTCATGGAGACCAGCTGAGGAAGCAAACCATTGAGGGCTATATTTCAGAAAGTACCGACCTGAAAGCCCTCGTTCGCAATTGCTTTGATCGATACCACGTCTTCAACAATGAAATCAAAGACCCTCAACAAATCAGTCAACTCCTGGACAAAATTGACAAGATGACGATGGCTAACGGTGGAAGCTACTACACCAACGAGATGTTCATGAAAGCAGAGGTGGCTATAGAGAAGGAGAAACAACGACTGCTGAAGGAGATGGAAGCACATAAGCAGAAAGAGCTGGATGAACTGAGAGCCAAATGCACAAAAAGGGTGTACCACAAGGAGGAGAGGCGGGTGCACATGAGATACGAGTACGAAGCCAGAGCTCGAGCTGAAAGGTCAAATGAGTTCGTCGGTGCTCCAGTGATAGCCATAGCATCAGCCTGTGGTGCTGCTGTTGGAGGTCTGCTTGGAATTGCAGCAGGTCCCATTGGTTTGGCAGTTGGAGTTGCAGCTGGAGCAGCTGTTGGAGCTGGCATTGGTGCTTTATCAGTGGCAGTCTCAGAGCATTGCCACGTGCAGTGAGAGAGCGTACAATTAATAATGATCAGCAATTTCTGATTCTGGTAAACTCAGCACAAATAAGTTAAGGGTGATTCTCATAATCACTTTTTGTTCATAAGTGAAATTATTTTAGATGAAACAGAGCTAATCAGCTTGTATTATGCTGCATCTCCAACAATGTCTTGACTGTACACTAGTGTTAATATAAGTAAAATCATGTAATTAATTTGTCAATGTAATTAAATGTACTTACCATGATGGATTGTGATTGAATGATTGTATATCTGTAGCATCTAAATTAAATTATGTCAAACTGTAAATGTGGATTCTGTACATTGATTTCTTAAATTCATGCACAAATATATGTGAGACAGGCGAAACTGAACTGGCACAGTAAAACAGGGAGGACTCATATACATGACCCAGAGACACAGGTAGAGGATCTTCACTGAAAGCTTAGCAAAGATGAGGGGTGAAATCAATTGGTAGGCTGGATTCAGCGATAGGTAAACTGGAGTTCAGGTGAACAGACCAAAGGGGCAAAGGAAACGCCCACAGGAAGGAACTCAGAGAGGAAAAAGCTACAAGCAAGAAATGATAGATAATCTTGCAGGAAATGAATGAAGTGCTCTGGAACTAATGAAGGAAATAGGAACAGGTGAGCACCTTGATGTGGGGAATCAGGTGACTGAAAAAAAACATGTTTCATAGTTCTTGCTCATTCTCTAATCAATTTCATCCTCAGCCTTTCCCACTGTTGCCAGTCTTACGATGCAACAGCCCACTCTGTATTAAAGGTCAATATAGCGTAAAAATAGATGTCCATGTGTTGTTTGATTATAAAGCAGGTCTAGGTTCTATATTAATACTGTGAAGGTATCCAAGCCTCAGTCCACATATAAATGCACACAGCCTGTATTCAAAAACTGAGCCTTAAAACCAGCCGTCAGGACTTCTGGAACTTTGTGATGTCACAACAAAGATTTCCGTGAGTGTTTTACCTGAAATCTGCTATATTTTACATTGGACCCCTCAAAAAGCCAATCAGAAGACAGGCTCAGAGCTTCCTCTCTCCCGATTGGCTCACCGACCTGGTGTTACTAGAGCTCCAGAGAAGCCTGAGGGAGGAGATGTAAAACTACACTGAGATGGTTTTTGGTTCTTAAAACCATAAATATATCTTCTTATGGATCAACACTTCAAATAAAACACAGAGGAGGAAAAGATGGAGCTTTAAAGATAAGGCTACTTTACTCTATTTATATAGTCAACAAATCCCAAAAGTGTCTCTCAACACTTACTGGTCTTGCTACCCTCTGTGGCTCAATCACTTCCTAAAACTTCCTAAACAAAGTTTCTGAAACAGGAGGAGATGATGATGGATTAATTAGGGACTATTTTCAGCCGCAGATTAATCCACATTTGGTGCTATAGTGAGTGTTTTTGGCAACAGGACGGTGTGTGTGGGTCTGAGTCAAAAAAAACAAAACAACAGTGTATGTGTGTTCATGGTGATGAAGGATCATGTCAGACAGTGCAACAGTGTGCCTCAAAAAACGGAGCTCAATGGCTCAGAGGAAGAAGATCAGGCTTTGGATTCATAAGACTTGTTAGTGGGATACATTCAATCCTGCATTGAAGTTTGGTGTTTTATACAGTGCCATCAGCAAAAGAATAAAAAGCTAAGGACAAAGATGTTACTGTGTTTTATCTCAACAGAATCCCGGAAGCAGAAGAAGAAGAGCGATGAACTCCGCATCATTTTGGTGGGGAAGACGGGAGCGGGGAAGAGCGCAGCAGGAAACACCATCTTAGGAAGAGAAGTGTTTCAGTCTGAACTGTCCTCTTCTTCATGGACATTTGAATGCAAGAGAGCTGAGGGCGAGGTCGGAGGTCGAAAGGTGGTTGTCATCGACACCCCAGGGCTGTTTGATACTAATTTCACCCAAGAAGAAGTGTTGAAGAGGATCAAGACATGTGTCTCTCTGTCTGCTCCTGGTCCTCATGTCTTCCTGGTGGTTCTGAGGCTGGGCAGGTTCACCCAGGAGGAGAGAGACACAATCAAGATGATTCAAAGCACCTTTGGTGAGGAGGCAGTCAAATACTCACTGGTACTGTTCACACACGGTGACAAACTGAAGAAACAAACTATTGAAACCTTTGTCTCAAAGAGTGCAGAACTCAAAGAGCTCCTTGAGGTTTGCTATGGGCGATATCATGTCTTCAACAACCAGGTGAAAGACCAGGAGCAGACCGATCAGCTCCTGGACAAGATTATCAGAATGACTGGTGAGAATGAAGGACGGCACTACACGGCAAAGATGTTCAGAAAAGCAAAAAAGGCCTCAAAGATGGAGAGGAGAAGACTTTCAAAGGAGCTGAAGAAAGCGGAGCAGCAGAGGAGGAACGCCCTGAGGGCTGAGGTGGACAGGGAAATGAATCTAACAGGAGAGTCAACGAAACACGGTAAATGTCTCCTGCAGTAGGAGATGGAGGCATTCAGGTGAACTTGTCACCTGCCTCTGAATAGTGAATAGATGGTGAATATATGCGGCTGCACTTTAGGACTCAAGGTCCTTTTATCCACTGAGTGAAGGCCACCTTCTGTAAAACCTGCATTCATCCAGCCATGTTTTTGTCCAACCACGTCTGCCCAGGGTTTCTTTGTGCTCCAGTTAGTGTGACTGCATGTTTCATTTATGCATACAGATGTGGCTGAGAGGAGGACAGAGTGGAGGTGTAACATTTCTTACACAGAGAATGTGGCTTGAATGTATTGAGTTCACAGGTTACACAATATTATAAAAGTTCATACCACGTTTGGTCATGTTCTGGTCTTTCTGTGTACACGGCCAAAAGAATGTGGTCACCTGAACATACAGTTAACACCAGTTAACCAGGAGTTTAGAGAAATTCCAAAATAAAAGTCTTACATTTGTACCTTGAAATAGCTGGAAAATCTCTAAATTGATAAAGTAAAAATAATTGATTTTCAGTGACAGTATCCTGAACTTATATTAGTCATTGTCAGGAATTATTTATTTAATGTTTTTCCACCATCCCTAAATCAAAAAATAAAGCAATTCCCTTCACATTTAAGAGGGATTTTTAATTCATAGTGACATGTTTTATACTCTCTGTGAATATAATCCTATTAATCTTATTTCCATATATATATTTTGTATATTTTTTTTAATGTTAAAACCTTGATTTTATAATCAGACACAGTCATGCTAACTTTGCAAGTCCACCACAATTTGATGAATTGTACTGCGTGTGCCGTGCTTGGGTATCGATTTCATAACCTCTCTTCAGGTGAGGCTACTGCAACACTTGACTTTTGAAATTGAGAAGAACCAAAATATGTGAATGAATTGTATCTCATGCACACGCAGGAGCATTTCCAGCACTCAGTGTAGTAAAACGTGACCTCTGTTTTACTTGGGGCCCAATTTGAAATGTTTTCATGTTCCCCTTCATTTAAAGTAAGGGATCTGGAAGACTGTATATTGTACGTGTATGTATATTGTATGTTTTGATGTGTGTGTTTTATGTATTGTATTTTTAGATATAAAACTTCATCATGTTAACCTGGATGCTGGGTTGTTGCGTCTTGAGCTCTTCCTATATTTATATTATATTCTTGCCATTTTATTGGCTAGAAATTTGATGCCTTGTTTATATGAAATAAGTGTTTGTTAGCTGATGAGGGTAGAGATGGTGTTTCACTCTGTAAATTCATTACATGTACTTCCATAATGTGTTGGGTAATTTGTTTGTTCATCCTCTGATGTTCTTTATGAACTGCAATGGCTGTACATAACAGAGTACTTCCGCTAGACAGTCGTAATGTGTTAGCCCTGAGATAGACTGTCTACTATGGAGTGCTCTGCCTCTTATGCAGTGCATGCTGGGATACATTCCATCCCTTTGTAGCCTTGAGCAGGATCCACAGGTAAAAAAAGTGGGCTGATCGATGGATGAACTGTAGCGACAAAGCAAATTGGATAATTGGGATAAGTCGGTTAAATGGGATAAACATGAATGTATGTAAATGTATTTCATGTCTGTGTAGATTTGTATAACATGTTTAGTACATTTAATTTATATTTTTAATATTTCTCTTTTTATTGACTTTTAAAGAGAGAATGCAAACATTTTGATTTTAAACACGAGGAGGGACAATCCAGATGAGGTTATAAATGGACAAAATAAAATAGTATATACATAAAAGACACTGGAATGTTTGTTTATGATGCATGTTTATACAAAGTCTTTTCTGAAGGAGGAACTACAAATGTTTCCTGTCGCTCTCAAGTTACTTTATCCTCTGACTTCATCAGGGGCGTTAGCTCAGAACTAAAAATGATTTTGTTTGAAAGACAGTTTCCAGGATCAATTTTAATTGAAAATGAGGATAATCCAAAATATATGAATGTCATTTGCATCTTTGTTCCTGCAAGATCTGCAGCAGTCAGTTGGATTTGATAAGACTTTTCTTTTGTAGAAATACAAAAATAACAACGCTAAAATCTACTGCCGCTTCTCTTGTGAGGTGATCAGATTTTCCTCTCTGACATGCTTTGTTTTAACATAAATGTGTTAATTTCTTTATTATTGTAGATTGACCCAGCTCAGCTGTAAATTCATCCTGCTCTTCTTACTGATGGGGGTATAATGTATAAGATGATGAATCATTTAAAGTAAACAGAAGCAGTGTAGTCAGTCTGCTGCTCCAACATTCTTTATGTGGACAGCAGTGACACCTGGTGGCTGTGTCCTTTATTGCACCTCATGGAGAGTATCCTATGAAAGTCTGATTAAGGTTTGAGTGAATCTTGGAAATGAGCATTTATTCCCTAAATACATGTACCAATACTCCATATAATACTTTTGCGCATAAATGAAATATTGACAGAATGTTGGCAACATCTAATATAACAGGCAGGCGGTTCCTTGCATATATCTATCTTATTTATGAAAATAAAATAGCAGTGGTCGAAAGTAATTCAGTACATTTAATCAAGTGCTGTGAACTTTACTTTTCATTTTCTGCTACTTTATACACTGAAAGTTAAATATTTAGGTCAATATGTCAATTTTAATCCACTGTGTCAATCCGATCGTTTTAGTCAACAATTTGCAGATTCGGATGAATAACAAATTATATGTTAAAACTTTGTGACATCATCCAAGTGACATTCCAACCAGCATGCTAACCCCAATCTCTGCTGATGAGAACTTCTTTTATGGAAGTAAATCACGTGACCGCCCAGCCTCGCTGTCATGTGATTTACAGAAGGCGTGAATATGCACGCAGCCGTCGCGCGCATCCTGTAGAGAGCCGGGTCGGTGTGTGAGGATGGATGGGACCGTATTGACGGTGACTGTTTTGTTCCTCACTTCGTCTCTGGGTCTCTGCTCCTCTGACACGTACGTCCTGGACGATAATGCGGGACTTGGGAGAGTGTTTGACGGGATTGGAGGTCTGAGCGGTGGAGGGGTGAGTTCAGTCTGTCCGTCTACTTCCTGGTTCGATACCCTCCAACACACAGGAAAGTAAGCAGCTTTCTGTCAACACCATTGTTTACTAGTGTAACATTTCATCTCCTTCCTTCAGGCCACCTCTCGGTTACTGGTGAATTATGAGGAGCCGTACCGGAGCCAGATACTGGACTACCTCTTCAAAGTAAGACCTGAGCCAGGTCTTCCATACAATCGAGTTCAAAGTACGTGAAACTCACTGCTGTGTGTTTTTGTTCTGTCTTCAGCCGAACTTTGGAGCCTCTCTGCACATACTGAAGGTGGAGATCGGAGGAGATGCTCAGACTACCGGTAAGTGACATTTAGCAACACAGCGGCTTATTTTTTTAATTACTTATTAATTAGTATCTAGTATTACCTATTAACTATCAGAAGATAATTCCAAGACTCCAAAGTGACACCTTCAAATGACTTAATAAAACTGAGTGAAGTGGAGGCGGATAATTCTTAGCGATTCTGTTTGATAACATGTTTAGACAAATAATCAGTTGTTGATTAATTTTCTGTCACATGACTAATCAGTTGATTGATTAATTAATGGATGCACCAACAGTTTTTTGTGAATGTATCAACCTCTGGTACCTCCAGATGTGTGCCGAAATGTGCAGAAAATAACAAAACTAATATCATACAAAAAAATTCAAAATATTGACATAACTGGTAGTACAACAATAATAATTAGTAATAGAAAAATAGTAATAATTGTAACAGAAGTTATAAAATGGGGTGAGGTCAACATGCTGCTGAGGTTGTCAATAATTGACATGTCATTAAGTATTTTTGCTTGCAGATGCTTTGATTGCGTGTTGTTGTTTACATTATATAGTCAGATCATTTGCTCTTACAACTAATAAGGCAGGATTGTAGGAAGGCCCTATGACTGGCCCGGGTGAAATCACTAATTTGCACCCCTTTTCCTGCTGTGACGTCTTTCAGAGCACTGACACTGTAAACACACCTGTCACCTGTACAGCACGGTGCTGTTGAACCAGAAAAACACAGCAGCTTCACTGCACTCTGTGATGACAGAGAGAGCTGTAGCCCTGAAATAAGTTTTAAAAACACACAATCACTGATCGAAACTTCTCACACGGAGGCTCCGACACTTACAGGAGCTCCAACCTGAGGATGAGAACTGACAGATCCTTTTTAGCTCACTCTGTCCACTGTTTGTGTGTGTGTGTGTGTGTGTGTGTGTGTGTCCGTGAGTCCTCTGTAAGTGCATGTGATGAAATCACTCCTTGCAGTTGTGTGTGTTCTCAGTCCGAACAGAACAACTTATACACTTGCTAATTTTGATGGAAAAAGGGTTAGGATTAGCCTTCACCTGAAGGCTTCCAACTACAGGCTCTTGTTAACAACAGCCATCTTGAGCTGATCTCAGCTGGCCTTGCTATCTCCCCAGTGGCTTTCTGCAGTTGTTTGGGTCCTGAACCCCCCAGAGGACTGATATTAGAACAGATATTGTTGTGTTTTACGTCAGGGATATGATAAACCCTGGATAAACCTTGGATCCACAGATCGTTTTTATTTTGACAGTATATTGGACCGTAATTGTTTTCAGATGGAACAGAGCCGTCCCACATGCACTATGAGAACGATGAGAACTACTTTCGAGGCTACGAGTGGTGGCTCATGAAAGAGGCCAAGAAGAGGAACCCAAACATCACACTCATAGGTGAGAAAATACACTGTCACTGAGGTCAAACAAAAACCTGATGATGCAGAAATCAAATATCAGAATGTAATACTAAGAGACAGTGATTAGTTTATGATCAAATACAACGTCATTACCTCTCTAAATGGATATCACCATCACCACCATATAGGCTTTTTTGAATGTCTACACATACTAGTTACATATGGTATGAAAACATCTGGCATGACAAGTTTAACTCAACAAGTCTAACACATGATGGGTAGAATGACGCTGATGGAGTATTAGGCCATGTTGAGGAAAAAAAAGAATAAAGTCATAACATTAAAAGAGTAAAGCCCTTTTTATAATATTATGACTTTATTCTCATAATTATGACTTTATTCTCCAAATTTCTGATTTTTTTTTTTCCCTCAATGTGGCCTTAATACTCGTAGTCGTAGATGGGAAATGTAGTCTTAAGACTGAAACCAGCTGGGTGCATTAGTTTGATGATGATACTGCACTCAGAGCATCTTGAACCTCGTCCGTGTGTGTTGGTGTGTGTCTCCCTGCAGGTTTGCCCTGGGCGTTCCCTGGTTGGGTCGGCCATGGTAAGAACTGGCCCTATGACTTCCCAGACATCACTGCAGCGTACGTGGTGAACTGGATCCTTGGTGCCAAGCAGTACCATGACCTGGACATCCAGTATGTTGGGGTGCGTACTCAAGTTAATTAAAGTCTTGCTCCTTGCCATGTGGTGTAGAGTGGAATTCAGGGCTGCTCAATTATGGCAAAAATCATAATCGTGATTATTTTGATTAATATTGAGACCATGGTTATTTAACACTATTACTCATTGACTTTGGAAACACAACGGCATTTATTGAACTTAAAAAAAAAAAAAGAAAATGGAAGACAGATTGCAAAATATGGTTATACACAATATGAGTTAAAGATATCTGAGTGTGAGATAGCAGCCAAACAGGGCGTGGTCTCTCCAGACTATACTGTGTATAGAAAGTCTCTGAACCGGAACACTGCTCAAGATGACGCACCGTTACGTATATGGATGGGTATCGTTAAGATTTTAATGGTACTACTACTTTTATCATTACCACTTATCGATCCAGTGCTTTAATGGTTATCTTATCTGTACTTTTTGTTATTTTGTAAGAAAATAAATAAATAAATAAATTGAGAGCAGAATTAACATGCTGCTTTATAAAAATAATAATTTATATAATTTATGAAATTAAAGCAGCATGTCAGTCTTCGATCTGATTGGCCATGTACTGACATGGATGGGTGTCATGGATATTCCCATTTTTAATTTGCCTTTTCAAATAGTTTTTCAGACTAAATTATGAAATTAATGAAATGCTTCATTACTTTTCCTGTGACATCCCTGATCCTCCAGCCATCCAGAACATAGTATCACACCATCGACAACGAGTATTTTTAACTGCAACCAACTTGGTGACAGTATTTCAGGTAAATGTAGGGGCTGATAAACAAGTCAGCTGTAGGCTGAGTTGTAAACATTTTGCTTGAAATGTCAGCATGAATGTAAAACTGGACTGTTTGAGCAGCAGATCGTGTCACTAAAATTCACTTTTATCTATTTAGATTTGGAATGAGCGAAACTATGACACCAAGTACATCAAGGTAACTCCAACCACTTCTCTTTCAATGTCCCCTCACTGATTTGACTGACAAATGTTAGTGCATTATGGGTAAGCTGGCGCCGAACTGTGGATTGAGGAGAAAAACAGCCACCGACATGACGCACAGTCTGACTCTTAGTGGGTGATTTTACACTTGTAGCTGGGTTCCTCTGAGAGCATGTCTTTGTTGCCAAGGTGCTCCGGGACATGCTGGATAAAGTGGGTCTAACTGGTGTCGGCATCATCGCAGCAGACGGTGATTGGAGCATCGCTAATTCTATGATCGTTGACCCGCGCCTTAATGATTCTGTTGAGGTGATTGGGTAAGTACAGTTGGCTTCAGGTCACATTCAGAGGCGGCTCAGTCACTGCTCATTTGACCCAATCATACGGCAATCACACTGTAAAAGCATGATTTTCACCACGTGCTGTGAGGTCACTGAAGGACAGTTTGATCGCTGACAATTAATTGACTAAACACATGATGCGCAGATGGTATGATGTCAGGCGTGTCTTCTTCTCTACACATCTAACTGTGAGCTGAATGTTTGTGGCTGTTTTTCGGTTGGGCGGTTCAGTCAGACACTAACTTGATAAGATGCATACATTCATGCTCCTCTGTAGTGTATCTACATGCATGTCATGATAGAGCATGACATATTAACCACTGAAGTCAGATAACTCTTTGTGATGTTGTAAACTTTATTGTATATTGCTGCCATCATGTAAAAGAAGAAAATGCATTTCTGGTTTTCAAGCTATGCTTATCAATATCTTTATATTTATTTATTTATTTGGATCTGTATGAGCCACTACCAAGGTAGCAACTATTCTTCCTGAGGTCCACTCAAGTAAACATGACATCATAATGCAAACCAATAATGTAAATTAAAAGCCAAAACAAAAGGAAATAAGAAAATAACAACAAAAACAAACAACAGTAAAACAACTAATTACGATAATAACAACAATGACAGTGAGACGCTAAAATTAACAGTGGATTAAAGGGCTGAGCTGAACAGAAAATAACTTTATGATTCATCTTTTTTTTCAGTTGAACTATCCAGTCTTGATTCCTAAAATCAGGAAATCCATCTGTGCATCTCTGCCTGTTCTCAGTGAATATGTTTGTGTTTGATGTTACATTGAAGCTGTGGTTAATAAGTATATATGGTGCTGTATAGTCATGTAAATCCTTTTTTTTTTCAGTGTGCTCAAAAATAGGATTTTCCCTCAGAAAGTAATGTAGATGATGATAACTGGCTGTCTCCACTCACTTCAGCTGTGTTGTGAATAGTTACAGTGCATGAGCACACAGCGCCGTTAACAGGACTGTCAGGTAGAGAATCTAGCATTTGCTTCTAGAGTCTGAAAAAAAACCAGGTGAATCCACTGAAGTAAAGTTAGCATTATGTGGATTCTACTTTGTTGAATGACGAATTAATAATTTAACTTTTAAGTTTCTGATCTGCCTTAATATACTGATAACTATGTTAACAATTTAGCACCTCATTATATATTATATATATATACATTATATTCAAAAACATTAGAAAACAGCATTGTTGCAAAACATTTAGGGAATAATAACAAATGATAACTACTGATATTTATGTGACAATTGTTTCAAGTGGAAAAAAATCACACTGGGACTTTCTGAATTAAAACCCTTAATAAAATCCAATCTAACTCTGCACTAGGTCTGCAACTAACTGTTAAATTAGCAATCAGTTAATTAGCTGATTATTTTCTCACTTACTCGATTATTCTTTTGTCCGTAAAATAATAAGCTTTATTTATAGAGCACTTTTCATTCAGGAGATGTAGCTCCAAGTGTTTCACAAAAAAAAACTGAAATAGTACACTAAAATAAAGGTGGATAGAAGGACAACGAAATTAGACATTAGAAAGATAGTAGATGATAAAATATGTACATGAAAATAAAACCAGAAAGCAGTAAGAATAGTAAGAAGTAGCTGAGATACGATAGGAGTAGATGTCCTGTTTTGTCAGTTTACTGTGACAAAGAAAAAACATTTCAGAAACTGGAACCTGCAAATGTTTTGCTTAATAAATGGTTAAAATGATTTGGTTCAGCAGTGAAAACAGATTCTTATTAATGATCTGTTGATGGACTCATTGGAAGTCAACTCTTCTCAACTATCTCATTTCCAATTGGAGCAGCAGCTGTTTTCATAGATAAACTGAGTGTCCTCTACCTGCAGAGCAGCAAACAGCAGACAGACTCAGTCACAAAACAGCTGGTGAACATAGAAGAACATTTAGCAGCTAAAGAGAAGCTGGTGGAGACCGAAACACAGAGCTAACAGAGAGGGGAAAACTGGTCACAAACTACATGATTTACATGATGGCAGCAAATACTGTAAAGACAAAACGCGTCCACATGGTCAGAGCTGCGACTCAACGTCTTCTCTGCTCTCTGTCTCCCCGTGTGACTGTGACCGGCTGCACCAGCTGCTGCGGTACACTCTGGATAAAAGCGGTCTGGAGGGGGTCAGGATCATAGCCAGTGACAACCTGTGGGAGCCCATTGCCCTGTCTCTGCTTCTAGACCCTGAGCTGAGCACGGCTGTAGACGTGATAGGGTAGGATACGTCTCTGAGCGTGACGTGTGTGAGCGTCTGTCTCTAACTTGTGCTTGTGCCTGAAAAGATTGAGCTTATTAACAGCTGATTGGCTTTGAGAACGTGTCTTCTCCTACATGATGCATGTGATATTATCATATCATATCTTGTGCTAACAAAAATAATAAGTCTGATAACAGCATATGGTGATTTGTGTGCATGAGTATCTCATATTATTTAGTTTGCTTGTAGTTTTTAAGCTGTTAGAGGAGCATGATCATGTTCTCTGTGGCTGGTTTGTTTGTTACTTTTTACAGAAGGACATAGTGTGTTGGACATCTGTCTGTGTGTATAGACGTCTGGTGAACTCAGTAACGTCAAGTCCAGCTGAAATTAAACAGCTTCATTTGTCTGCTCCAAGCACATGTCTGTAAATCTGTTGACCTGTGAAACCAAAATGGAAGAATTCATATTTTCTATTTCTTGTTTTCATGATGGTGCCCAGTAGTTCTGCACTGATTCAACAGAAAGCTATTAAGTATCCACTATGTAGCTGGAGACCTTATTTGGAGGCCTCCAATCATAAAGCAGTAATTTCAGTGCTGTGTCCCACTGAGCTAGACCAGTCTCTGAACAACAACCCACATTAGCCTCAGTCTGCTTCTTTTGCAGCTTAGCAACATGAACACATCCGGTCCTGCACCTTTAGCTTGTAGAACCAGCCTCCAGACAAACAGCCACCAGGGAAACATGACCTGCTAACATCATTCTGCAGGATAGATAACTAATTAGCTAATTAGCACATTGCCCCCCCCCCATAGACCATGAACCAGTGGTGTAGTCTACATGACAGGCAGGTATATGCTGTATACCCACTAAGAAAGCTCAAGAATTTCCCTATAGCCACTTAAAAATGCCACAGGATACCTAAGAACATAGTTTTGAGACAGAACTTGCACTTCAGCAAATTGTTTTCGAAAAAAACGGGTCGGGAGATCTGACAGTAAACTCAACAAACATGTCGGAGTGTCCCACCTACACCACCATCTGATTGGTTATATGATGACACTATTAAAGGTCACCTTTAGGCTGCCAGGTGAATCAGTTCCCAGGTGAGAACCAAAAGCAACTAATTAACTCTTTTAAGCTGTAACATATTCTGCTCTCTGCATATCTTAATCACATTTCTTTTAATTGAAGGCGTCCTCATTACAAATACTTATTTATGTAAAATGAAGAAGAGCAGATGTATTTAGCAGATTTTATTTCCAAACATCAGAACTGAAGTCAACCTCTAAAATGGAATTGTTTTCAATACAAAACCCTTTTTCTTCATTTACCAAACTGAGCTTAACTCTCAAGCACAGCAGTATGCAATGCCTTTCTGAATATGTGCAGGAACTTTGGCAAAATAAAACAGTAAATATTAAATCACAAAAGTTAGTATTCAAATCGGGAAATATCTGATCAAAGAATAACTGTAGTCAGCAGGACTACAAATCTGATTTGCAATGAAAGTAATGGAAAAAACTCAACTTTCATGACTCTGATACTCAGTGCTACAGATGCTTTTTGATCAGTATCTGCCTGCCGTGTGTGACGTAGCTGTGAAAGCTTCAGTGCGTTGCAGTGTTTTTTCCAGATTGGTCTTGAGGTTGTGTGAAATCACCGGATTATTCATCCCTTTGGGTTTTCTCCACCATCTGATAACATATTAATTAACACATCAGTCACTCAGATGTTAGCTCGTATTGTCAGGTTTTTTGTGCTTTGTATTAAACCAGTTCTAAGCACAGATGTTGCATTTCCAAAATTTGACAGCTGTCTCTTATCGTGTTACCTCTACCTTGTGTTGTGTGTGTGGCGTCCAGGGCCCACTACCCAGGCACCACCACAGTGTCCGAGGCCCTGAAGACGCAGAAGACGCTGTGGTCATCGGAGGACTACAGCACCTTTAATGATGAGGTGGGGGGAGGCTGCTGGGCTCGCATCCTCAACCAGAACTACGTCAACGGACACATGACGGCGTGAGGAAATACACCAGCAAAATAATCTGCATTTCTGTCCAAATGTATTTGTTTCATTAGGATTGAATTTCATCCAGTGTTTTATTTGATTAACCTGAAATTTATGTTTTCAGAGAGTGTGCTTTAAATTATTTGAAGAAAAGTCACAAAATGAACTGTTCATGTTGTTCTTAGTTTCCAGCTTGATGTTAGTTTATTTTAAGGAAACAAAGAATATTTCATGTTTAAGGTGTAAAAAAATCATCAAGAATCAGAAGCTGTGGTGACGTTTGGAGTGAGTGTAACTGTGCATGGAAAGCCTGTGTGCAGCTCTCTGGTTGCTGACAGTGAATCTTCTTCCAGCACCATCTCCTGGAACCTGGTGGCCAGCTACTACGAGGATCTGCCGTTTGGCAGGGACGGGCTGATGACGGCAGAGGAGCCCTGGAGTGGCAACTACGTGGTGGAGTCTCCGATCTGGATCACAGGTCTGCACCACATCCCACACACACGGACAGATGTTTTGCTGATGTGAGTGCAGGAGAGTGTCAGATAGTACATTGCTCTTTAAAAGTCCAGTACAGCTGGACGGGCTCTCCAGCTATTAAACTAAAGGAAAATAAGGTCTTAAAATGTCTTATATGTACTGTAAATTTTGTTGTAGGTATTAAATATGCAGATTGCGTTTTAAAGAGTGGTAGAAAAAAACAAAAGTCAGTAAGATTCATTTTGTAAATCAGTTTTCTTATGGTGTTGTGGTTACATGTCACTTGTTCCATGCTGTTGTCGCTTTGTTAAAAGACAAAAATTTATTTTTAAGATGTGGTTATGCAGACATGCGAGGGGACGCTAACCTGATAGTTAGGCATAAAACTACAGTCTACGGGTCCGCAGGAATATCACAGTAGATTCTAGTAGGTCCTAGTACTTAGCAAGTCTGAGGTAGATGTTAACGTTTGTGGCCGTTTGTTAAGTCTGTCCATCAGTCTAGGTTTGGGAATGGGAAAGTGCAGATTGAATGAGAAATGTTAGGAGGAGACCCCCATGAATCAAGCGTTGTTGTTCAGTCTTTGAGTCTATTTTTTGCAGTGGAGCTTAATGATAGGCTGTTCCCCAGTAACTTAAGTGAGAAAAGAAAAAGTCAATGTGCATAGTGATGAAGGCTGAAAGGCCTGCACTACAAGACACCGAAACACATAACATGTTTTTTCCCTGATTATCTAAAAAGTAAACACATAACATGTTTTTTCCTATGGAAAATGGTTAGCAGTATAACAGTATATAACAGTAATAAGAACTAATAGTTATTTCTATCAACATGCATTATTGGTGTGATTCTTTAATACTGCTGCTGCAGGTGTTTAGATCTTTTATTGCTGTTTCTAATTGTGTCTATGTGCTGTTGAACTTCCATGATGAGCATGGACTGAATTTTCTACTCTACCTCTAATTTAAAACATTGTTTACACCTGGTAGAGCGCGTACAACATAGGCTTTGTCCAAACTGCAATGGCCATGGGTTGGAATCTGACCCATGGCCCTTTGCTGCATGTCATCCCCTCTCTCTCTCTCCATGAATTTCCTGTCTATCTCTCACTGTACTGTCTGAATACAGGCAAAGTTAAGAAAAAAAAATTCATTGATTTAAGGTCTTAAAAAGCACTGATTTATATATTTTTTGGGACTTTTTATGCCTTTATTGATAGTGCAGTACAGAGAGACAGGAAATGGGGAGGCAGAGAGAGGGGGAATGACATGCAGCAAAGGGCCGTCCGATGCGGGACTCGAACCGGGGCCGACTGCAGCGAGGACTGTAGCTGATTTAGATTTTTAAAACTATGCAGGAACCCTGAGCTGTCTGAGCATCACACTAACATGACAAAGAGACAAATTCATGTAAAAAAATCACGTGTTGCTTAGTGGCAGAGGGCAGTTATTAGAGAGGAGCCATTGTGCATGCTGGTCCAGCAGTAATAAAAATAACCTTCATGTTTAGCTTATTACGAAAAAAAAAAAAAAAAAGAGAACATGCTGCGCAGAAAGAAATATTAAAGAAAACTAAAAGCTGTGCTGTGCAAGGTGATGAAGACAACCCAGGACACTCTGTTCTGTTGGAAAGAAACAGGAAAATAAAGTGAGGAGCTACTGTGTGATGGTTAGTTGTGTGTGTAGTGTGGTTTGATCAGGACAGTACGAGGAAGGAAGGTGGCTTTATCCCCCATTCGGTAATGCTGAAAATAATTTTAGGGAAAATAAATGAACAAATTTTTGTTATTCATGGGAGAATTTAACAGAACTACGTAGTTATTTTGTCAGCAGCTGATCAGATATCAGAGTTTCTACAGATCAATAAAAAATCTTAAGAAAGGTCTTGGATGGATTTTTAGAATGTAAAGCCATAAAAAAAAAATCACAACTACATTTGGTCAACCCAAAGAATTAAATGTTCTACCATTAAATATAAAACCTGCTTTTGGTTCTTTCCTCATCTCTTTGTAAATGTAAACCAGGGCTCAGGAAGTAAAAAAAAAAAAGATTTACGATTGCTAAGCTAAAGACAAACTAGGGGTCTTCAGGGAAGAAGAGAAGTCTGTCTCTATTTGGTAAAACCTGGAATCTGGACACCACCATCTGCATTTGAGTTTAGTGTGGAGCCACAGTAGTTAGTGAGTGACATGTTGACTGAGAGCAGGAGAGAAGTCGACTATATGAACTTCCTGCTACAACAGGAGTTTCCATAATCTATATAGATGGTCGTGATACGTCCTTTTTCTCGGACCTTGTAGTTTGAGTAATATTTTGCTGGCAGTTTAACACCAAATATTGTGTGTGTGTGTGTGTGTGTGTGTGTGTGTGTGTGTGTGTGTGTGTGTGTGTGTGTGTGTGTTGTTTCTGTATCTGCTTTAGATCAGTGGAGGTGATAAAGGATTCAGTAGAAGTGGTGATACGGTCACAGGAAATACTTGAGTATTTCAGTCTGATAAATAAATGAGGGACATGAACATATGAGGCTTTTATATTCTGGTACCTTAGTGTAGGAAAGGTGATAAATGCAAATTATTGTTATTGTTGTTATTTACATTTAAAACATGTCTCCGTGCCTTCATGTGTGTTTGTTCTGCTGTGGAAAGAGCATTCTCTGTGCTAAGGTCGTAAAGCATTACATTTAATTTCAGTGTGTTGCATATGTCTTGGTTGAAGCATTTTCCTCACCAAATCTGTCTCAGTGCTCCACCTTAAGGAAGAAACCAACAGAAACCACTTATTTGAGAAGAAGTGCAATTATACTACGACACATCATCAAGAAAAAAAGTGTGTGGCTCAGTATAAATTCAGAGTGGTTAAGTTTGGCATTGACTTTACAATATCATGAAGCACTCTCATTGTCAAATGTATCTGATTTATAACTTACCGTTTAATCATTTTTTGTTTCCCATTCATTTGTTCTCATCTCTCTGTTTCTCTGCCAGACCTCTGGTTCTTAGCTAATTTAGCCTGACTAAGCAAAATTGGTAAAAACTTAACAAGCCTTCAAAGTCAAGCTTAAGAGCCTGGTTCCAAACCTTTTTGCCTTGTGACTCCTCAAAACAAACTCATCATCACTAAGTCATCATCAGTGATCCACCAGTTGTGATCAGTTTAACCAAAGACAGATTTTTTTTGCCATGTGCTTTCCAGAATGGTTCTTACAGATGCTGAGAAGTAACTTTATTATGTTAGTAGTAGTCCACAATGAAAAAAAGCACAGATTAAAGGGAAGCATGGAAAGGTTTCACAGAGCATAAATGCCATTCTGCATCTCTCTCCTCATTTCTGGTCTTCTCTCCGTAGTCAAAATATCTAATGAGTAAAAATTCACCACCGCAGGAAAGCATGTCAGTCACTCCCACGTGTCTTTTAGCACTACGGCCTCAATTCACACAGGCATACACCTCACTCCTGTTGCTTTTAAAAAAAATGAACTGGGATATTGCCAGCAGAATTTGAGGTTGTACTAAAACATGGAGGATTTACAAGGCTGAGTTAGCTACAAACAAAACATTTAAGTCAGCCAGATGCTCAAAAAAACCTTTATTTGAATAACAATTTAGGATTTTATAAAAAGTAGTTTTCATCTGTCTACCTCTACCTATAATTTCTTTAACATTTTGTATGTTACCATTATTCATGCTTGATTTTTTTTCACTTAGTATGTGTTACAGTTATCATTATCACATGACTCTACTTCATCCTTACACAGTGAAGTGGTTCAAGGTTTTTTACCTCTATTTCAGTTGGAGAGAGTACATGTAATGCATTCAATTAACACTTTCTTTCATCAGGTCATATATTTGATAATGCCAGATTTCCTCCAGCTGTCTCTGATGATAGTGTGCCTTGGTGGGCAAAAGAAATCTGACACTCAGTTCTTTTCATTGAAGCATTTTCTTTGTTCTGTTGATCAACAAAAAGTCTACTGGGGTAGATTCGTTAGAGCCAAGGTTGTTATAATTAGCAGCTCAATTTTAGTTGAATGCTTGAATTATATTTTTAACTTGACTGTATATTTAATCATCAATAATAATTTTAATAATTACTGACCGATTTCCAGACTTTTCCAGACGTCACGTCTGGCTAAAGTGTGAGAGAAACTGGTAAACAATCAGATGATGGTTTTCAGTCCAGTGTATGAGTGTTGAACACAGGTGTGCCACAGGCTTCATTCCAAGGACTGATTTTATTCACAGTTTTTGAAAATGAATAAGTTGTAAAACTTATAAACAACACATCTGTATGCAAACACAATTTTATATACAACAGCGCCCTCTGTTGCTCAAACTTGTGTTTTTATTTCTGTGCTATACAGTGAATTGTAACTGATTTGATTAAATGCAGTGTGACTAGATGTTCTGTTTGAATTGATGTTGTCCCTTATGTTGATGATCTGTTGTATAATTTGTAGATGTATACAGTAACTTTTGTGTGCTTTTATACGTGCTGTAATCAGGGCGTCCTTAGAAGAGAGAAGAAAAATTGTTTAAATAAAGGTTTTAATATCTAAAAGACTGTTTGGCATGATGCAGAAATAAGAATTAACCTTATTTTAGCAGATTATTGATAAAGGTGATAGGAAAAGCTTCTAGGTGGACCTTTAGAGTGATTTAGTTTGATATTGAACAGTTATAGGACGTCTCTGACTGATTATTGTGGCTCTTGAACATATGACTATTAATGTGTAAAGAATATCTGTCTTAAATCATGGTCTTCAGAAATGGTTCAATAAGTAACCGGTACTGTATTGTTTTCCCTGCAGCCCACACCACACAGTTCACCCAGCCAGGATGGACCTACCTGCAGACTGTTGGACATCTGGCACAAGGGGGAAGTTATGTTGCCTTGACTGACGGGAAAGGAAACCTCACTGTTGTCATAGAAACCATGGCAAGTTAGGCTTTTTTGCTTGTTGCTTCTTCAAGTTTTCACTTCCTGGTTGGAATAATTACTTAAAAATGATTTTGAAAGTTGTAAAGCTGTAGCTGTTCAGAGGCTGAAGACAACAGATCTACAGAGTTTCAGTGTTCAGATGGAGTTTAGCTGTCAGGTTTTCAGCTGTGTTACATGTACTAACAAAGTGTAGTGAAGTTACACTATTACACAGAAACACTAAACCTGTTTCCTCTACAGACTCATGATCATTCAGTCTGCATAAGACCTCCACTCCTTCCATTTAATGTGACATCCCAGAATGCAACTTTCCAGCTGAAGGGATCCTTTGTAAGTTCCTCTCAGATTTGCATCAATCTAATAAAAGTTAGCAACTGATCCTTCTGTCTTATTCAAGGTTTTTTTTTTCTCAGGCCTCCATCAAGGAACTCCAAGTGTGGCGCTCCCAGTTTAACTTCAAGACCAAGAAGCCCTCCTTCTTCAAGAAACTCACTCCACTGAAGGTAAAGGGACAGTTCAGAATTATTATTATAAAGAGGAACAAGCTGAGTCTTTTAACAAGGTCTAAAATAAGTGTCTTTTGTTTGATGATTTTAGCTGTCAAATGGATCATTCACCTTAAATCTGGCTGAAGATGAGGTTTACACTTTAACCACAATTACAACAGGACAGAAGGGCAGTTACCCAGACCCACCTCCTTCAGCTCGCTTCCCTAAAGTCTACAAGGATAACTTTAATGTTCGTAAGTATCAGACACAGAACGCGAAGGATGAGTCAGGTCTTAGTGTAATTCGTCGTGCAGTTTAAACATTTGTATTACAGACCAGAGTGTGACAGGTTTAGGAATGTGACAAATTACTTGATTAAAGCTGAGAATTTGTTATGAAAAGTCCTTAAGGTTGTGTCACAACCCGGCTCAAGGCTGGACAAAGGAGGGAAGACCACACATCAGCACTTACTAAAAATAAATTTATTTTACACAACTAAAAAGGAAATTAATCATAAGACCAACAAAACACAACAAAACCGAACAGGTTGGAAACCAAGGTGAGAGAGGGAAAGTGGCTGACTGCCACCAGCTTATATAGTGCAGCCAGAGCAGGTGAGCTGAATCTCCCTGACGACCAGACTCCACCCATCAGGCTCCTGCAGCAACAGGCCTGCTTCGAGAGGATCCTAACAGTTGACAACATACCCACATTGGACACTGTATTTTTGTATTGCAACAGGGTTTCCATATGTCCTGGAAAATGAAGAATGAAAGAAATAGCACAGGGTCCTGAAAAAAAAATTTACATTCTCGTCTTTTTCAGTCAGACATCTGCAACAGCTGGCAGTGGAAATTAGGGTGCTCTTCAGGGACCAGACAAAGTTAGAATCGCAAGGGGCTGCACATGGTCTTTTATTTTGAAAAGCTCGGAATGTGATGGTGGGGCATCATGCTCTCCTCAGCAGCAGGGATAGGGAGACTGGTCAGAACTGAGGGAAGGATGATTCAGCCAAATACAGAGAGGCCCATGAAGAAAGCTTTATCCAGGGTCCAGGAGACAGTTCACCTTTCAGCTCCACAATGACCTGAAGCCATGACAACACTAGAGTGTCTTCAGGACAAGTCTCTGACTGTCCTTCAGTGTCCCACCCAAAGACCAGACTTATAGCACATAAAACACATGTAGAGACCTTAAAATTGAAGTTCAGACACTTCCCATCCTGTCTGACATAACCTGAGAAGATCTGTCAGGAAGAATGATATAAACTGACCAAATCCAGGTGAGCAGAGCTTGTAGAGACTGAGCCAAGAGGACTGTAGAAGCTTCTTTGGCAACAGGTACAACTTCCAGAGTGCTGAGTTCTAGATGGTGAAAATGCAGTGAATTTTTTAATGAATAAAATAAAGGTTTTACAAACTTGATTGAGTGCAAAATACAGACTCACAATATTGGATTGTTTTTGATATTGTTTAAGTTTCCCTTTAACTGCCCTCTCAGAAGCTAACATTGTGTTCGTCTGTGCTATTTACATCTTCAGAGCTCAGGCCACTATAGTTGTGCTAATAGAATGTGATTTAAAACAGAAAGAGGGATTCAGGTTAGAGCCATAGATGTTAATACAGATATTTTAAAGGAGACTTCAATAGAGAGGAGCTTGTTAGTCCAGAGTCTGATGCCCATGGACATGGACAGTCATCATTGAAAATGTCCTGTAAAATTATTTCTTGAAAACAGTGTGAAGTATAACGAAGAACCATAACTACAGGAAACAAGTTAGCACAGTTACAGAATTTTACAGTTATACTTGAAAATAGCAAAGAGAAAACAGCCTTCCTCATCCTTCTCCACCTTTGCAGGAAACCCTCCCTTTTCCGAAGCTCCAGACTTTGCTGACCAGACGGGGGTGTTCGAGTACTACATCAACCTGACTGACCCTGGACCTTACACCTTCACCTTACGACAGGTTCTGACTGAGAGACCCATCACATGGGCGACAGACGCGGACCAGACCATCAGCGTTATAGGAGACTATCAATGGTGAGATGATGTATGACTGTATAGAACTAAATATGACAACTGTCTACAATCCAGGACTCTGCCAGGTGTCTATCCATGTTGTGTTGTTGTGTTACAGGCAGAACCTGACGGTCACATGTGACATCTTCATGGAAAGTGTGAAGACTGGTGGTGTTTTCATAGCAGCCAGGGTGGATAAAGGAGGCCAGTCCATCCGCAGCGCTAGAGGAGTCTTCTTCTGGGTGTTTGCAGACGGCACCTACAAAGTCACCAATGATCTGGGTTAGTAGGATCACTCCTCGCTTCAGTACACATTTTACTGTTAAAACAAAAAACAAAGCCAAGACTTCCAGACTTTTGGTATCAAATCCATTTTCAAACGTCCAATCATCCTGACTAGAAGGTTATTGATTTCCCTCTGTTCTCTTCTGCTGTCAACAGCTGGTCAGACTGTACTTGCAGAGGGTCAGTCTGGAACCCGAGCATATGGTTGGCACACCTTATCACTCACTGTGAAAGTAAGTGAAGATTTCACATTGTATTCAGAGAATTTGGTGCTTCCTAGACTTTTTTCTGCTTACTGATGTGTCATAAGAAAGACTGTAGGCATCTTTGTAGTGTCTACTGCAGCTTTTTAAACAGGAGATATTTGATATTGATGCCTCCGCGCTGGTGGGAGTCAGAGCCATATTGTTCTCAGGTTGTCCTTCTTCAAATTTGGCACAAACACTTACTTGGGGATGAACTGATTAAGTTTTGGTGGTCAAAGGTCAAGATCAGTGTTACCTCACAAAACACTTTTCACTCAAGTGAACTCAAGACTTCACACAGCAATTAAGACAATATTTCAAACAAATGGTTCATATTTTTTATGTCTCTGGATAAACAGGGATGTAACCTGAAACTAGTTTGAGTCCAGGAGGCAGACGGCCACCAGGAAGTAATTCTAGTTTTTATGGATTATTGGTTATGGCCAACAAATCATTATGAAGCCTAAGGGCACTGAACTCAGTGACATCAGGCGGTTTGTAGAACTCACAGAAGTACTTGAAGACTCCTCCGTCATCACACCTCACTGATTTCATACTGTAGTTTCTATCTCCATATCATTTCCCAATCACATCACGATACATTCTGCAATTACATTACATTAGATTACCACATGGCATTTACAGTATGTGACATTTCATGTAGCAATGTCATGTAATTGGATAATGTAATGTGGAGACTGTCCTCCTGTAAAATATGAGCCCATAGGTCGTCTGTGCAGCAGGTTAATGTGACCCATAGTTACATTTTGTTGCTAGGTGACATCTAGTGGTCGTAGTAATGACGACAGGAGCAAAGGGAAAGTGCGGTGACGTAGTATAAAGAGAGACAAAGTCCAGGTCAGGAGGAGGTTGTGGTGGATGGATGAATGTGACACAGGAGAGCGCTGTTCCATTCCCATGTGAATGTAGCAGTTTATGTTGTTTCTATCATCCATGACCGTTCGACGATGTTACCACGTTGTTATTATTGTAACCATGACAACAAAGATCGTCTAATGTTGAAGAAGTACTGATTTTAACCCAAACCACAATCTTTTCCTAAACCTAACCAAGCCATGAGCATTATTATAGTAACCAGGTAGGTAAGCCACTGTCAGTACAGTCCATGTGTTTGTAATTGTAACCATGACAATTGAGGTCTGGTATGCCAGCTGCCATAAGGACGCTATTTCAGGAGACACTCGTATCAGCGGGTTGAAGAAAGCAACCTGTGTGATGATGATTGGGAAATGATGCACTAATACTTTTATTTCATTCTATTAGATGGAATCAAACCTAGATTGTTGTTGCTCATGTGGTAATTGTCATATGACACAAGTAGGAATCAATATCTTAATATTGGCACTCATGCCCCAAGAAATAAACAGAATTATTCAGTAAAATTACTTACTGAGGTTTTGCAATGTTCAAAGTCACAGAGAATTGATTGACTGAACTTCATTCAGTTTTGAAGGTGGAAATTTCAATGATAAGGAAACATGAACTTTGTTTTTGAGCAAATAATCTTGAATAGTGTTGTTCAGTGTTAATCTGTCAGCTCCATCTAAATGCCTTATAGTCACATCCCTGTTACTGACGGTCAGAGTGAACAAGCAGAGAGTCTATAAAGAGTAATAATGCACCTAATAAAACAGACAATTGTGTATGTCGTAAAGCTTTCCACTGGAACTGTGTCTTGCAGGGACAGCTTGCATCAGGGCTGCTGAATGGATACCCACTGTGGAAGAACGCTGTGGTGCTGAACCCAAACAACGGCTGGGCTGCCATAGGAACACACTCATTTGAACTGGCACAGTTTGATAACTTTGCTGTGGTGGCAGAATGATGATTTAACTGTGAAATAATGATTTATACTGTGATGTTAATATTCTGATTAATTTATTGACTTGATTAATGCCTTGTTTTAATACTGATGTGCCAAATGTAGACTTGATTTTTTTCTCTTTCTTTAAAAAGATTTAAAAAGTTTTACACAAGAATTAGGGGAACACAAAGAAACATAACACTGCACCCTTTAAATTTGCTTAATGAGATAAATGTTATTTTGAACTGATTTTTTTTATGAAATAAAAGGATTTTGTTATAAAGTGCTTTTTAATTGTTTAAAAGCATTTGTGTAGTAGTAAGGGACAAAATGTGCCTAGCTCACTGGAATGAAAATGAAGAGGTACTGTATATGTAACTGGATGAAATAATGTGTGTTACCTGATTTTCCAGCTGTTTTCAGTGAAAAGCACAAACAGCAGAAGCAGATTAATTTAATTTCAACTATCACTGGTTTAGATACAGTATCTGAGGAAATTGTGGGCACTAGTTAAAGTGTAGGATGTAGAATGGCTCCCAAATAGGTGCCAGGACACTATGAAGGTCACAGGGACTCAAGGGGGGGCATTTTATTTGGAGATTTAATTGTATCAAAGTGTGGCCAGATCACATCCTGTATAAAGTCCATGATTAAGCCTATGATCATGCTTGGATATTATGTGTTCAGCGTCCAAATCCGGGTCAGAATGCTGCTTTACATTTGTGCAACTGTAACTGACTGTAAGTATTTGGACAATTACACATTTTTGTTCTTGGCACTACATTAAAGTCTCAGTTTCAACAGACAGCAAAATAACTCTGGCCCATACTTGGGCCACGTTTGTTTTCTTCTTGCCCAGTTTACACCCCAGCGGCTCAAATCTGGCCCATATAGAACATGATTGTCTGATGCTATTTCCACATCTGGACCAATTCTGGCATACACAGAAAATCTTCTGGCTGTCAGTGAGTACCAGAGGATAACAGCTGGACTCTGCCCAGATCTGGAAGTATATGGGCCAGACTTGGCCAAGGACCCAGGCATATGTTGGGCCAGAAGTTTCATTTTACTATAGTGCCCTTGGCATCTTTGTGTCATTTCAACAGTAGTTCAAACATTAGGAGCTCAGACGTGGCTCAGTGTTAACTGAGAGGTGACACTTGCACACCTCATGTTACAGCATCATGTACACAATTCCTGGAAGCTTAAAACATCCCAGTTCTTTCCTGGCCTGTGTCATCACCAGACATGTTACCTATTGAACATGTTTGGGATGCTCTGAATCTGCATGTACAATAGCGTGTCTCACTTCCTGCTAATATCCAGCAACTTCACCCAGCTACTGAAGAGGAGCAGTCCAACAGCCATCAACCTGATCAACTCTGTGTCGCACTGCATGAGGCAAATGATGGTCATACCAGATACTGACTCGTTTTCTGATTCACAACCCTCTCTATTTTTTAAACGAAACGCCATATTTTTTTTCCATACGCCATGTTGCGCGCTTTGCTCGCTTCCTGCGAGAGAGGGCGCGTCTCTATGGCAACGCTACACTAACAACCCTTGCTAAAAACGTTTGCTAAAAGCTGACAAGCTAATACGGCGCAGACGAGGATGGAGAAAGTCAAGCAGTCACCCAAACGAGTTTTTATCAACAACATAGACTCATACTCATCCAAGCACATCGCCAAGGTAAATATGTTTAAATGTGGAATGTCAAAACGGAGCTGTTAGCTAGTGTTAATGTGAGTTAGCAGTTACAGGCTGCTTCGTTCCTAAGAGTTTTACCACATCAGGGAATTGAACTAGCACACACACTGTTTGTCGTAAGCAACATCAACAGTGAGTTTATGTTTTCATCTTTGCAGTTTGTGTCTGAATGTGTTGTGGGAACATCTGTTGATCCTGATGGAGAGATGGAGACTGAGGAGGAGGAGAGGATGAAATCAAACAACAGCGGAGCAGCAGCCTTTCAGGTGGTAGGAAGTGTCTCTGAGAAATCAGACGAGGACAGACCGCATGTGCTGGAGGAGTATTTAGTAAGTACTTCATCCAACAGAAGCTATTTAGTAAAGTCATATACTGAGGATAAACACTCAGATACTCCAGGGTCAATTTAAACTTAGAATATGAGACCTGATTTTTGTTTGTTTGTTTGTTTGTTTGTTTGTTTGTTTGTTTGTTTGTTTGTTTGTTTGTTTGTTTGTTTGAATAAAAGGGACTGGACAGAGACCAGCTCCTTCCAAAACTAATGAGCTGTGATGTTATCATCTACAACATCAGCCAGCACAGTGAACAGGTGGAGGAGGCCCTCTGGGCTGTTTCAGGTGAGCAGTTCTCTGTCTATTGGGTGGTTGATGGGTTGTGTTCATTGTCTATTAAGGCTTCTTAACACTTTTCACAGTTTATTGGTTCTATTGGATTACAGCAGCATCCACACTTTGTAACCTGAGTATCCAGACAGTGTTCAATATAAAACTAGAAATAATTATTATGTACACAAGGGGTCTCCAGCAGGTGCCTTTTGAACTACCTGTTGGAGACCCCTGTTTCAAAGTAGCTCACCCAAAGGTTCAGAGAATATAGTCTGTACAAACCATGGATGTATAGTTCAAACTTTAAGCAACACAAGAGATGTCAGTTTAATGAGCTCCTGTTAAGTTTGTTTACATTAGATCTAGATCTAATGGAACAGGTATAAACTCAACTTTTCCAACAAACAGGAAATATGTTGCCATAGATACAGTGAGTTAAGCTGTGGGCTTCAACTTGAACTCTGTTTTTTTGCCTATGTTTACATTTTGGGAAATGAAGTGAAGTGAATTATCTATTTTAACTTCCTGTTTGTTATGTACCATTGATGAACTGACAACTGTCACTGATCACTGACTGAGGAGCTTCTCTCTCTGGTTTTTAATCAGATTTATGGAGGTTTATTTGCAGTGGTGTTTTCATGTCTGTGTGTTCAGGTCTGACTGAATCATGACTCAGATTGTTGTCTGATGTGAGTTTCAGATGTTTTTTGGTACAAAATGTGAATTTTGGATATTAATATTTGATGACTTGTTAAATGATCTTATTCATCTGATTTGGTTTGGAGATCATTTTGAGTGTTTGTTTATGAATAAGTAAATAAATGTAACCAGTAATATAAGACATGAGGAGCTCTCAGCCCCTTTGATTTTGTCTAAGTAGCTCTCAGATTAAAAAAGGTTGGAGACCCCTGATCAACCCTTTAATGATTCATTATGCTACTATTTGTCTTCCTGAGTGTAGGATAGCTTTTACATTTGTGGTTTATTTTCTATTTTCAATCATAAACTCTTGCTCTACCTTTACAAAGTCATCACTACCTGTAGATTGACTCTTGTTTTTATTTACCAGTAATGTCACATGACTATTTTCTCATAATACTCCTCAAAGATACAGTTTGGTGAACGTGTACAGGAGGGTTTCTTTACTTTTTGTGGCCTGTGTCCCAGAATTATTATAACTTCAGCCATTTTAAGAGGTTTCATGTTGTCATGTTAATTTCAGTATTTTATACTAACAGTAGTTAACAGTGATAGTAGTTAACTAGTTAACAGGAACTAGGAATGGCTTTCTTTGGGCACTATTCTCAGAACAAGTACGATTACAATTAATATCAAAACATCAGATCCATCAATCACGTCTGTAACTCACCTGAACTGCTGTTATCTGGGAGTTCGTATTTATCACTATAGGGATGTAGCTGATGCCTTTGTAATATCTTATTATCTGTAGACATGTTTGGAAATAATATGTCGCCTTTCAGTTATGTGTGAATTCATGTTATTTACTTATTTACCTTTTTAAGAAAGAATTTCAAATAAGGATACCAGGAAATCATCCCAATAAAGTGTGTATATCTAGATGTCCTTATTTTCATTTAAGCAGCATTGTTTCAGAGAGATCATCTGCAGCCAACACATGAGCCTGAACGCACTGAGCAACACTGGCAGAGAATATTTCGATATAATACTACCATAATTAATCAATCAGGTAATGTCTCCTTCTGTGTTGTACTTTTAGCTCTTCACAATGAAATGGGGAATTTTTCTGGACCAAAGACGTTTATCCTCATCTCCACAGTGATGACTTGGGCATGCAGCAAGCCAGTGGACCCTGTAAGTGGACACACAGTGTACCTTTGGCTGACCTAACCTGCTATCTTTGTGTTACACAAACCTATGTTTGTTCCTTATTATATTCTAATTTAGGTCATAGGCCTGAAATGTAATTGTTCATTCAAACATTTATTTAGTAATATTATTGTGGATTGAAATTGTGCTATTAGACCAACGCATATCATGTGGTATGTTGTCTATAATGTTTGTCTGATGTAATCTCGTTAATCTCCAGCAAAAGGTGGTCATCTGACAAAAACTGAATTCACTTGAAGTGGGATACTTTTGTTGTTGGTAGCATCCCTGTCATTGTCTGTGTTGTGTGACAGGATGACGTGGAGCTTCCTTTCACTGATCAGATTTTCTGGAGAAGAAGAGCACATCCCAGCTTCAAACAACACATTGACCTGGAGAAAAGGGTGGTCAAAATGGGCAAAACTGTGAGTTTCAAATCCCTGAGTTGTTACATTTTGTCTGACAGGAGACTCATGATTGAGACGTATCACCCTGTCATGTGGTTTTTGCTTTTAGAACAGAACATTGTTCTCGACATACGTGGTGGCGTCAGGACTTCAGTATGGGATGGGAGAGCAGGTCTTCCACTTCTTTTTCAAGGTGAGATTTGAAGACTGTTGTTTGATCATCAACAAGATTCCCACAGGTTTATGTTACACAAAAAAACAATTCACACATAATAATCTGTCACAGTCTAGATGGAGCATCTGCCAACGTATGACCTGAGCCCTTATTTTGGTGAATCTCCAAGTTGTTATCTTGAACTATGAGAGCCCATTGGTTATGGTTGTAGATTACAGAAAAACCAGGCAAAGGGGAAATAATTGGACCCATCAACAGCAAATCTTCTTTCTCGATTGTATCTGACTTTGTGCTTCCTGCAACAGCACTGCTTCAGCACCCACAGCACTGGCATCGACCTTTAGTTTGAATGGTTCGGAGAGGTCAGGCGCAGCGAGCACAGGAGCATGGCTTAGGAGAGACTTCACACTTTCAAAGGCATGCTGGCATTCATAAGTCCACACAGAGTCTACATTTGGGCTGAGCAGATTGGGTAATGGCAAAACAACAGCAGAAAAGTTAAGACAGAAACTCCTGTAATAACCTGCCATGCTGAGAAAACTGCAAACGGCTCTCCTAGTGGCGCTTTTCCATGTTTGTTGCAGGTGTAGCCGAAGCAGGGTACATTGCAGATGAATGGTCACTTTAATGTTGTAGTGGATACAGTGTCACGTGTCTACACCGATTGCTGTGTAATGGAAAAACAAAAATGTACAAAAGATGAGTAAAGTAACTTAGAAAACTCACTGGCATTCATTCAAACACGGAGGAACTGGCGACCTGACATGATGTTCTCAAATACTCCTCTTGGAAGCGGTTTTAATGATCAGCATTTTTAAGATAATCATTTTAAGCTTTGACACTGGATTTTCTTGCCTGCTTGACAGCAGGACAGGAGATGCTCTCTATCCAAAAACAATATCTGATGATGTTGTGAATAATATTTACAGAATTAAATATCAGCTTATATTCATATTTTTCTTGGCAATGGTCACAATCCGTAGATATTAAAGGAAAATATATCCTATAAGGAAAAAAGAGATCTGTCTGTTGATTAATCTATTACTCATTTCCATCTTGTTATTCTTTGTTATTCTTGTTTTTATTATTGAAAATTTTGATTTGGCAGACATTTGAAGGTCTCCAAAAGGTCTCCAAAATCATTAGGGATCATATTATGGGCAGTATGAATTTCAACACCAGACATCATGGAAACCTGGACAGTATCTGTGGAGACATGTGGACAAAGTGTTGGATGGAGTAACATCACCATCCTAAGACCCATCACAAACTGTGACAATGTGAATTTACTTCACATGTGTTACTAAAGGAAATAATCTGTATTATTAGACGTCGTGGCTGGGACAAGAACCTCAAATACCTGTCTTTGGAGACGGCAGCAATATCATCCCCACGATTCACATCAATGACCTGGCAAGGTTTGACACACACACACACACACACACACATACACACACACACACACACACACACACACACAAAAACAATATATCTATTGATGTGAGGTTATAGCTTGCAAAATAGAAATTTGCTATAAACTATACATATACTATATATATTATAAACAGTGTAATTTCTTTGTGTAAATTCAGTGTGATTCAGAACGTGATTGAACATCAGCCCAAACCATATTACCTGCTGGCTGTGGACTATTCCAACAACACCATGGAGAACATTGTAAAGGTGAGTGTAGCACCGATCAAGAAATGTTCTGTCACAGAGGAGAAACATAGAGTATGTAAATGTAAATGCGCTGGAAGTGTACTTAAACCTGGTACAATCAGTCAGTGACGGATTGATCTCTTTCTCCACCAGACAGTTGCCTCTGCACTTGGACCAGGGAAGATCCAGAAAAAGCCATTTGAAGAAGCCTTCCTCACAAAGGACTTAAGTGTATGTTAGTCTTGCCTCAGTATTGCTAATACACAGGAAAACTGTCTGCTTCAAGAACTTCCAAAAATAGTTTTTGGATATATAGTTATTTGCTTCTTTCAAACAGCGAGATGAGAATATTGATATCAGTCTTGTGTATGTGTTCAGAGCTGGAGTATGTGGATGTGGTTTAACGTAAAGACTGGAGGCAGGGGGAAACAGCTAACCTGGCTCCGTCCACAGGTCAATAATACACCTATCAACACCTCTAAAGCTCTAACCTGCACATAAAGAAAGATAATGTAACTGCTGTGTTATTGTCGTTATTGTTAATCAGGCTATATCCTCTAGTGTATAACAACACAACAGTCTGATTTGTAGAAAAAAAACATTGGTACCTCTAATCAGCCTTGTGATAGACTGACTTAATCATCTCAAACATGTCATTTCCATTGAAATTTCAACCAGTAACAGATGCTCTACTTTGTAGAGAAAAGTGAAAGAGGTAAAACTCATATGAAAGGTGATTTGCTTCTGTCAACTGAAGCCACACAGGCTGGCACTTACACAATGTTGATTCTGAAAATCAGAGTCATCCTGTGTGAAGCACGTTTATATTTGAGTAAGAATCAAATAAAAGTTATACTGTGTGCTAATCAGTGAGCTGTAGAGGTGTTGGAGAACATATTTTTCATCTTTGGATAGACCCAAGTTAGCTGTTTAAGCTAAGCTAGGCTAACCATGTGCTGACTCAGTAAAGCAATAATTAGAACTCAGAATGAAGGTATTTGTCCTCTCATCTCATGAGTGGGTTGAAGGTGGATTTAAAACAAAGAGACAAAGGACAAGGATTTTTTTGACATACATCTTTTTAATAGACAACGGAAATTGATTCCATGCTGGTCAACCTTCGCATGGAGGGCGTCTATGTCAAGGAACTGTTCTCTATCAACTGGCAGTGTGAATCTGGTTTGGTGGAAAACATGGAGCTGGTGGTGGAGGAGTACCGGCAGAGCAGAGGACTGCTGGTAGGTACTAAAGCAAAAGGCAGAAACATGTCTCTATCCAGAGAATATACAGAGGAATGATAATATTGCTGCTTCTCCATATATCGTTAAGTTGTGTATTATACTGTGACAGTTGTCTTAGTCATTATTAAGTTGTACTAGTGTAATCCATGCAGTTTGTTCTCTCCAGCCCATCCGTCTGTGTGTTCTGGGTCCTCCTGCAGTGGGGAAAAGTACAGTATCAAAGCAGATCTGTGAACACTACAAGCTCCATCACATCACACTGAAGGAGACCATCTCTGAAACCATCACACAGCTAGTGAGCTCTCACATCACACATTTTCATGTGGTCCGTGGTTATAGTGTTGATAATGCAGCTGCAGACATTTGAACTGTCCTAACAAACTATTTCTATCCCCATGTCTATAGGAAAACACTGTGAAGAGATTTGATCCAGATGCAGAGAACGAGGATTCAGCAGCAGAGGCCCATGACCTGCTCAACAGACTGAAGGACAGTATGGAGCAGAGTGGAGGTATGGACCTTTAAGTAAATGTTATTTACCTTTAAAATCAATTCACTCTTAATGATATAAGTGTCAGGTAATGAGGTCTGCATGTTTAGTCAAACTCCAAGGACTCATATCAGGTGTCACTTTGAATCTCAAGTCAGTCTCAATTCAATATTCTTATTCAACAAAAAAAATTAAAGGTCTGGATAGTTTGTAACTAACAATTGTGTCCTTACAGAGGTCTTTTTAAAGTGATAGAGAGATTGTGGCTGGTAATTACATGGTTGATTTTATATGGTTTAATCGACAAATTATATTACATTATATTTGTTTAAATTACAGTCTGCATATTGCTGATATTCTAAGATAAAATTGTGTCTCACAGTCGTCATCTGTGAATGGATCTAGATCAGGTGTCATCATGTGACCTACATGTAGAATGTGATAACAGCTGGTTATATATGGATGGTGTGGGTGCTGGGTCAAAAGGTGATCTTTGAATCAGAATCACAAAAACTTTATAGATCCAAGTTGTTCTGTTTAAATTGCTCAACACTCAGTTAGGAATGAGGAAGAAAAAGAGTAAAAGATAAAAACTATTATAAAATAATAATAAATACACACCAAGAGAATAGAAACATGTACAACTGCAAAAGTGATTAAAAAAAAGGTAGAAGGTAGAATCACAGTACGGACAAAAGTGCAAAAATTGAAATGTAATTTCAGCAGTAATTTAACAGTAAATTAACAGTAGTGTGTAAAGTAAACTGGATGGAAAATGTAACATAGCTCAACATTCAATCAATAGCAGTTTAAAGTTAGCCAGTAGACCACTGACTTAAAGATGATCTCCAATAGTCTAATCTATGGAATTGAGAGACGCCTGGTCAACTACATCTACCTCTAGCAGGTTCTAATGCGACACGGGAAATGTAGGATCCCGTTTTTCTGTTTCATTTTTGATCATTCTTTTTTAATCTGTCTTTCACAATACTAAATCAGTAGAATGTCCCTTTTGAGATGATATTGCCACACTGTTATATCAGCTCTTTTGTCCATTAGGTCATATGGATGACCAGCTGTTGGTGAAGGTGCTGAAGGTAAAGCTGATGTCTAACCCTTGCAGAAATCAAGGTTTTGTTCTTGACGACCTTCCCAAGACATATGAACAAGCTAAAGAGCTCTTCAGTGGTGAGACACCAGATCAAAATCACAATCACATGCGCTGCATATACGATGAACACATACTGTACATACACGCACAGCTCTATGTTTTTATTTGTTTTCTAGCTGAAGAAGATGAATCCGAAGATGGGACATCCCACATTTCTTCACATAGCAGGAAGATTATGCCAGGTGTTTGCAGTGCACTGTCATCACAATGCTATTATTTCACATTGGGGTAGGCACTCTAAAATGTTACCCCACAAAAGTCTTGTAGTAATAGTTGCATTGTGTGTATCTCAGAGTTTGTGTTGCGCCTGGATGCAACAGACGCCTTCCTGAAGGACCGGGTGATGAACCTGCCTGAGAGGCTGGTGCAGGAACACAACTACGAGCATGAGCACTTCCTGCGATGCCTCGCCAGTTACAGAGAAAATAACATGGAGGATGAAACTGTTGTCAACTACTTTGATGAGCAGGACATGACCCCTCTGAACCTGGGTAATCCAGCAAGCATGTCTACAGTACATCCTGTGTGTGGGTGATGTAGGGAGAGGAATGAGTATACATTCAGGCAGTGTGCTTTTTCGTTTTAAACCAAAAAACTGAAAAACGGTCCAATTCTGGTGGTTTGAAAATTCCCTTTGGTCATTTTTCCTTGTTGAATTGAAAGAATGAAGAAAGGTAATCAGGTGGCATGGAAGTAAAGGTAAGTATTTCAAATTAAAAGCCAAGAGAATAACATGGGCATTCTATAAAAGTGTAAAATTATGCAAGCAGAGACTGACAGACAGGCAGTAAGGAAAGAACTTGTCAAATTTTGGGGTTAAACCAGGAATATAATTATAAATCACACTCTTTTGATAAAGTACTTTTTGAAGGTTTTTATTTTTTGCATCTGCTTTGACACCTTAATTTTTTGAAAATTATGTCCATCCTCTCTGTTATCTGTGGTTGCATTTCCACCATGAATTAAGATCATTGTTACTTTCATCATACTGTGCTCCTCGTCGTCCTCTCCAGAGATCACCAGCAGTGACGAACCTGACTGCCTGCTGCTGATGCAGAAGATCTACGACACGGTGGGCAAGCCCAGGAACTACGGCCCCAGCAGTCAGGAGGTAGAGGAGGAGGACATGAGGAAGGCTGAAGAGAAACTGAGGAGAGAGGCTCTGGAGAGGGCACAAGAGGAGCAGATGGAGGTGAAGGAGGCCAGACACAGGACTGCACGCTGGGAGGAGTGGGTAGGTGCTGAGAGGAGAGCTTAGGTTTGGATATAGACAAGGGTATGGAGGCTTTACCTGGTGCTTTGCAAATGAAATATCAAACTAAATGCTTAAATAATTTTTTTGTGTGTATATGCCACAGCCTGTTTCAGTGGCTCCTGTTCATTTTCTTATTTTTCCAAACTTTTAGCTTTCTTCTTTTGATGTGTTTAGATTTTTACGAGTAACTTATTTAAGCTGCAGCCTCTCTAAACATGCTGGTAGAGAGAGTCCTGGATTGTTTTCTTCACCCTAGAATTATTTCTTTCATTCAGCTACCTTTTTGGATGCTATCATTCAGCTACTGTATGTTACCGTTGTCGGTCTCAGGCATATGTGCACACGCCATCTTGGTTGTTGTTTACATTCCCCCTCCACTAACCTGGCAACCGCATGTGACATCATTCACTGTGTTGCTGCAAGACTCCAGACTCTTCTTCATGATCTCCGAAGACTTCAACTGGCCAAGACTCTCCCGTTTTCACTCAGTGTGTGGACTGGACAACAGAGGAGACAGGACCCTGGACCTGGTGTATGCTAATGTTAAAGAGTTGAAAGTTCATACCACAACCTGGTCCACCTTCAGCCCAAATACAGACCACTGGTCGTGTGTCTCAGTGCAGTATGTCGCTGAGGAGATGTGCGCTACTCTGAATGACTTTTCATTTAACCAACTGTGATGTTGCTCTCATGCCAGATGTTGAGGACATATGATGGACAGTCTGTTGACCAAGTACATCAACTTCTCTTCCAGTCAATCCTGGATTACTAAGGACATTACAGTACTTGTGGAAGAGAAGTAGAGGGTGTTTAGGTCACGGACTGTGAGGCAGTAAAAAGGAACAGCTGTCAGTGAATATTAGAGAAGGAAAGGAGGAAGCTGGAGCAGAATGACACCAGAGGGGTGTCATTATGTTGGTGTTTGGTTATGATTATGGAGTTTGAGTTTTTGTGTGTGTGTGTGTGTGTCAGACTAATGGTTTGGAAGAGGTGAGGCAGCAGGAGGAGGAGCTGCTGGAGGCCCAGTCAGTCCCTATGAGGAACTACCTGTTGGAGCACGTCATGCCCATTCTGACCCAGGGTCTGATCGAATGCTGCAGAGTGCGACCACACGACCCCGTGGATTTCCTGGTATGACACTCACCACCAGTTATTACCTAATTCTGAGAATTAAAGTTAATTAGATGTTGATTTGATCTTGTGGTTTGTCTCGTTGCAGGCAGAGTACCTGTTTAAGAACAACCCCTCTGACTACTGAATGTACACACTTCTACAGATACAAATACAGAACCAAAAACTGAAATAAAGTCTTTTTTTCCTCCTAATTTTGCTGTGCTCTTTAGGATATTAGAGACTGGAGTCAATTACATGCAGCATTTCTATTAGAGGAAAACCTCCTGCAGTCTCTTAGACACGCCAAGTGTCCCTCAGTTCATGCTGGGATTTTGATTAGGTCTGATTTGTAAGTGGCCAAATCCCCTGCCCCTGTTGTATTTACACACAGCTTTGTTTGGGCTCTTGTGCGCCGGCCATTATTTAAAAGCATCCTAAAAAAGAGGATGAAAGTGTGCATGAAGCCAAAAGCTAATTAGGAAGTTAATTTGCGTAATGAACTTGGTAAACTCCAAAGTAGACACACTCGGGTCATAATTGCTTTGATTTGGCTTCCGATTTCCAGGAAGGATAAATGTTACAAATGGCAGATAATTTGTGTCTCTCTCATGTTGCTACTCGCGACTCCAAAGTATACATAATTGGTTGCAACAGAACACCAAATTATTTCATTGTACATACTTAATCACCACATGGGGAAATTAGTTGAGTTTATTTGGGAAACATTGTGACGCAAGCTGCTGCAATTTAACTGCACCATCTGTGAGTCCTAGGTACAAACACAACATGGAGAGTTTCCTGAAGGTGAAATACACAGATTTAAGTAAACATGATAATACAATATTCTCATACTCAGATAGCCTTATGTCATTTGAAACATGCAGCAAATATTTTATTCTCTATTTTAGTAATAATAATATATAATAATAATAATTTATTATTTATTATTATTATTATTATTATTATCATTATTACTAGCATACACACAGCAGTAAAGTTGAACTTTTTCCATGCTGGAGACAGTCAGCTGGAGGCATATTGTTTTATTGAGGTCAGAAACGTGGTTTTGGCCTTGTGAACGCAATATCTCTGTAACGCCTTGAGGGAGCTTCTTCAGATTTGGCACCGACATTCACTTGGACTCAGGGATGAACTGATTAGATTTTGGTGGTCAAAGGTCAAGGTCAGTGTGACCTCACATAACCCTTTGTTGTCATTATGATTATTTAACTGCTCTTGATGTGTTTATTTATCTTCTCTGCTATTACAACTTTATTTAGCTGAATGACATTCAATGTCATGTTACTGAAGCTTCATGTGAAGCCCATGACGTGCACATGGGAAGTTTTTTTTATCAAAGAATAGTTAGAATATTTAACTGTTCAAAAACAACCAAAAGTCTTAAGTTTTGTGTTCCCTTGGTGTGACACTAAATTCTAGTTTTTTAAAATTCAACAACTCCTTCAACTACAGAATTATGGATAATTATGCAAATTTGTCTCACTAACAGCTAATGACAGATTACCTAGCAAGGTCATTAACTAACACAAAAGACTGAAACATCCTTTTAAGAAAATAAAATTGAAATGTCTTTAAAAATGAAGCCATTATATCCTTTTTAAAAATCTAATCACATATCTTACTGAATATAGTTTGTGTATCAATAGTATTCACTCTCAGGAGAATATTATCTCAGGAACACACTGATCGACTGAGTGACTGAATGACTGCCCAAAGTACTTGGCACAGCTCACACGAGGTTTAAGTTTTAATAACACTAGTGGATAATACCTCTCACTGTGTCTTTAATGCAATAGCTAACATTTCTGTCCTTTAGTGTGACTCATATACAAGCACCAAAGTAATTTGTTTTAGCTCAAAATATCTTACATAACAGTTCCGTACTGACAATTAGGTGAGATATAATCATCGCTCATCCTGTATTGCTATAATTCCCAGCAGTTTTGAATGGATGGATGACAGCAAAGTTTGAGTCACATATAATGAAAAAAGTTCAACAAGTGATGGGAAAAATAATATTATTCATAATTTAATAGTATATACATAACAGTATAAGACAAAAAGTGTCTCTCATGCTGTTTGTATATTATATAAGATTTTTTTTTTTAAAGTATTTTTATATCACACCATAGAATATAAAAGTTCTAGGGGGAATGGCACAGTTCAGTGAAAATGGTGGAGGGAATAACCAGGAGGAGGTGATTGTAGTTTTCCTTTGCAAGAAGACTTTTTAGAAACTTGAAGGGATCTTTATAGAACCATGTTCTTTCTTCCTTCTGCCTTCTAAGATGATGCCAATCGGGGTTTAATGTCAAACCCCCCCCCCCCCCAGAGTCTCCTAAATTGTCTCCTTTCTCGATGAGGCACTCGATCTCCTGTCAGGGTCAGGTCAGCGTTCATTGTTTCCCAACGGTTTCTTGTCAGTGGCACCACTTTCCGGTCCAGTGTCTGTTGCCGTGAAGTCAGTTGATGAATCTTCTTCCACTCCACTCTCACAGACTCTAGGGATATTTTTTTTTGTCATCTTTTCGTAGCTACAGTGGGTTTTTCCAACATGCTGCAGATCCTGGGAATCTACAGCCATGGAGAGGTCACCCATGACTGTCCGACTGGGTCAGCTGTCTCTCCATGCCACCGTAAGGACTTTGCCCTGTCATCAGCTGATCTCTCTCAGCAGTGAAGATGTCAATACTCTACTCGAAGAGGGCAAGAGGGTAGGATTGAGAAATGTCTAGTACTTGAAGATGCAAAGGTTTTTGAATGCAACTGTCTCATACCTGGTCTGACGGAAGTCAGTGTACATTAGGTTTCGTACTGAAACATTAGCGCCGCAAGTGTAGACACAGTCTGGTGTGAGCAACATAAGGCCATGGACTCATATTACAGTATAGGCTGGAGATGTAAACAGCACTGGAGCAGAGAATGAAAGAATCATCCAGGAACATTTGAAAAATATTAGGTGAATGCTTTTGGAGTGAACTTGAATGCATAGTCCGGCCATAAACCCCAGTGAATCAGTCATTTTTATCACCTAAATGGAGCATGTTTGATGTTCAGTCACTGTCAACACAGTACAATACTGTACAACACTCTGAGTTCATTTTACACCTGTTCCAGCTCAAGAATCACAAGTTGACAAATTATTATTAAGAATTGTATGGCTAACTTTTTTATTATGGCTTATAAACATCTAACTTTTAAAAAAAACACCAAAGATACTGTAATTTGCCTTTTATTGGTCTTGTGTTGCTCTGTATGTCCAGCAGGGGGAAGCCTAACCACTCCTTCAATTTGTAATGGAACATTGTGTCTTATAGTATCTCTTATACTTAAATACAATGTATGAGTGGTGGGAAGTAACTAATTACATTTACTCAAGGTGTACTTTAGTACAAACACTTCAGTATTTCCATTTTATGATATTTTATACTTATAAAGGTAAATACTGTACTTTTCTTTCCGCTACATTTATCTTTACATTATAAAACATATTGTAAGATACAATACAAAGTCACCAAGCAGGTCTGGATGAGCCAGTGTTGAAAGAAGTTTTAGGAGCCTATAAGTCAGAGTTAAACAGAAGACTCCATGACAAATAATCTCATACCACAGAGTATGTTGAAATTAAATGGGAACATGAAGGTAACTTTGAGATTCCAAAGGAAGAATGCTTTAGCTACTGTAACTTTCAATGAAAATGCACCAACTCACACACATGGAGAGAATTTGGATCATGTGTCTATTTAGATTTTTTATTACCCCAAAGCAGAAAGCACACTGAACAGGAGAGGATCCCAAGTGCTGGAGACTGTGGGAGCCAGGACACCAATCACTGGCATATATTTTGGGAAGGTCCGATAAAGAGACATTTCTGGACAAAGGTCCAGAGATAGGTTGGATGCCTATTTGTGTATGTAGGTATCTATATATATATTCTGGTTGCCTTTTTTTCTGTCTTTAAATTTAGATAAGTTACTGGATTGTCTCCCAACAAGTGAATGCACACATGGGTTAAGTTCATCCATTTTTCGGACTGTAAATTGTTATGGTAAATTCTATTGGATACATTTTGTTTAAAAAGAAAAAAAGGGAAAACGATGTTGAGAAAGGAAGGGCTGTTGGCCATGCTGAAAATATACACACACATAAAATCATTTAAATATTTCATGGAGTAAATCAGTAAAATAGTCAAAATTGCAGCACAGCTGTGTGTCAGTGCTGTAAGTCCAAAGCATATTTACACATTTAGGAGCCTTTAGCTTTGGAGGCAGGATGCTCCAGGTCATAGATGACCTTTGACCTTTGAGTTACACTCCTATCTGGGCTGCATGTTTGGATGTGGTCTGGTTTGAGCTTAAACAGGTCTGATGTGTGAGTCGTGTGTGTATTTCACCAGTAGGTGTCAGTCTTAGATCATCTATGAGCTTCAGGAGTGCGTCACTCAGAGAAAAGGTGACGATGGTGGATCTCTGTGTTCTTCTCCTTCAGATGGTAAATGATCTTGTTATTGGTTTTTATTAAATGGATGTACAACATGTTCCATCCACTCTGAACTTGTGAATGAACAAAGGGCAAATGAAAATTGTGTAATGTTAAAGTTGGAGTTTCTTCAGTCATGATTGATATCCATGCTCATGATGACAACCCAGTACTTATGTCTATACCATACACTATTACATCACTGCACTGCATCAGACAAACAGAGAGCCTTATTCATCCCTGTACATCCTATGTGTCCTGAAAGAGAAACTCAGGGGCAGCTTAGGGCACCTCGCCAACTTTCCACATACAGGTCATCAAACAGCTGTGGAGTGTCCTCTGTGTCTCTGTCATGTCTGACAACATAACTCTGATGATGTCATCAGGGTTACCTCACAGAGAGAAGGTGGAGGTGTCTTACAAAACGAGGCCATTGCTTGTCGAGAAAATAATCTTCTATTTGTTAAATGAGTTGGACCTTCGGTCATGTCACATGATCTTCTTAAGCAGTTTGTCCACTTGTGCTTGAGTTGTGGACATTCGAATTTGCATTTTCTTTCTGTGCACCACTTGATTCATTCTAGGGAAAGAAGAGAACAAGCTATCTCAGCTTTCTTTTTTTTTTAATTGAAGTTGTCTTTTGTAAGTCTCCCAACTTTTTGGAAGTGTAA